TGAGAACTCATGAAAAGTTTTAGCGCTGTGCCTTACACGTAATACATGTTCACTAGAGCCTTATTTCTATTCCCTACTTGCCCTGAACACATTTCCTTACAGGATCTCCCTTGCTAGGCTGGTAGCTCCCTCAGTCTGAGATGTGCATTACCCTTCTCTGTGTCCCCAAGGTCTGGCATAAAGCAAGCCTTAGTTAAGATTTGTTGACCTAAACACAACCATCACACAGAACTACATCCATTAATAAGACCCTTCATAGACTCACTAATACATTTTTCTGAACTCATAAGGAAGCAAGGCTGCAGACTAGTTGGTATTGAAATTGTTCGTAAAAATTCTGAGTTGCTGCACTTACACCAAGAATAAGAAGAAAACCTTGCAAGTAACTGTAAGAAACCTGAAATTGGGTCATTGCTTGGAGAATACTTTATTGTTGGTGGATTAAAGATGAAGCAGGCCTCTAATTGCAGTTTTAACTTCCTCATGTCAAGGTCAGCACTCCTCCTGGATAAACTTCTAAAATGATAATACTTTGATTTAGTATTAGACTTTTACCATTCAGTGCACTTTGCCACCTATTATTTTCTTTTATCCTCACAACGAACCCAAGAGGGAGAGCAATTTTACAGATGAGCAAATAGCAGCACAGTAGGTTAAGTGACCAACAGAGGGTCACAGAGTGATTTTAATAGCAGAACTGGGCTCCCAGACAGGCTGCAGACTCCCAATTCTGCACTTATTTCCTGGGTCCTGGGCGTTCCTTTTCGAAACTCACAGGACTGGGTCCTTTAAGGAACTGCTGCCAGCATAGAGCTGTTCAATGCTGAAGGGAGAAGAGGGGAGGGGAAGGGAGAGAAAGGGAGGGAAGGGAAGGGAAAGGACTAGAAGGAAATAGGGTATTAACCTATTGTGTCTAGAGAATTACAGTGACAGCACTATTCAGATATTTTAGTGATAGTTATCTCAATTGCCTTCAGAGTTCATACCCAGGTCTAAATTATGGAAGTACTAAGATGACTGAACTGTACACGTCAGACAACTTTCTATGAAGCCATGTTTAACAAGCTGTCAATTGGCTATGAATACATAAAGCTTGTTTATTCATCAGTGATTTTTAAAGGCCAAGTAAAAATTTGTTACTAAAGAGGCCTCATCTCTATGTACAATGAAGTCTTTGAAGATATTTAAAGATGGGGATGAGCCCAATAAGCAGCATATTTATTTTAGTTTCTAAAATACCTCTAGCAGATCTTTCTTGTGTCATGCTACTCTTTGAAAAAGGTAATGACAACTCTAGACCTTATTTCCAAAAACAGAAATACTATATTATTCCCTAACATAGACACGGTTTTATGTACAATTTGGGGAAGCTGAGAGATGGAAGTGTCCATACATTTTTTAGTAGGACTTCATGGTAAACAATTTATCTATCATTGATAAATTGTACCACTCCATACTGACATTTTTGTGAGCTATGTAAGCAGGTATTATCTATATTGTTTTACACATGAGGAGATTAATAACTAAAAACAGAAGTGACTTATCTAGGGGAAAAAGTTAACTAGGCAGAACTAATACCAGCTCTTCTGACTACTGGCCTGGAGCAACTTCCCTGCATCAAGGTGCCCATGTTATAGGTGAAGACATAAAAATTATCCCAAGAAATGATTTGACCTCTGCAGATATGAGTCAATTTGGGAGAGTAATAGCTTTCTCCTTCCCTGTCACAGGTGTTATTTAAAATATTGCTCTATAAGCCTCTAGAGCATTTGAAAAAAAACACCAGAAAAGCTACCTTGCCCCAAAGACCTGATTGAAATGCTGATCATGGATATACATAGCCATCTCCTTTGAATTCACACTGCTTAATGCTGTGTGAGTGATGGAAACATTTTGCAAAGTCTAAAAATCAATGTTAAAGCAGGTAAGCACTATAACAGGAGTAGGTGGGGGGCCAGCTGTGAGAGTACACGGGAGACTACTGGCATGAACCCAGACAGACACAAGGTGGAGAGACTTAGGTGGGGGTTAGTAGCAGAGGGCAGAGTCAGGGTCAGATTCTGCTTACACTCTAAAAGATAAAACCAACCATTTTTGGATAAATGGTGGTAGGTGTGAGCAAAAGGAAAAAGTCAAGAATGTCTCCAAAGTTTTGTTTTGAGCAGTTGGAAAGTTGAAGTTGGCATTAACAGAGATAATGATTGAAAAAACAGGAATCTAGAGTTCACTTTTGTATATGTTAAGTTACCTATTTGATATCCAAATGGAAATGTCTACAAGGTAATTGATAAAGCACTTGTAAGTCCAGAGTTCCAAAAAGAGGTCTGTGTTAGACATAAACATTTGAAGACTGTGGTATGTCAATGGAATTTAAAGTCATGACACTGGATGAAGTCACCTGGTAAGTGACAGAGAAGAGGTAAAAGGACTACTAGGTGCTCCAGTGTTAAAGCAGTTAGCTGCCTGTAGTGGAAGCAATGAGGGTCACATGTTTGTGATTGCATCAATCACTGTGCCGTGTTTGGATGGTAAGAGGCCAGATATTTCAGAAACGAATCACTCTTTTCAGGGTGAAATGTGGGATTAATCAGGTTTAGACCAATCAGAGACCACCTCTGAAGTTGATCTATTCCTGATTGGTGAAAGATATATACCTTCAACACAAGTGTAATCTTTACCTGTGAGTGTCCTACAACATTGCTTTAGATGAGACCCAGGGCAAGAAGCAAGAGGCAAAAGCCAAGGTGAGGCATTGTGAGATTGAGCCTGTATGCAGCGGACTGTATAGGCAGGACAGAACTTGCTCTTGCAAAGTGGCTGGGAAGAGGTGGAGTCACAAAGATAGAAGATGAGCTCAAAAGATGTGTGACAATTATTATGCACCCTAGCAAAATCTTTGTATTAGAGATTCTTATCTATGGCTCTTTCTCTATGACATTTTGATCTCCTGAATTGCACAACTAATTTCTTTAAATATACCTATAACTCAGCGTTTGGACAAAAATATGGTCAATATTTGTTAAGTTAAAATGAACTAATGTGACTGGAAAAATAATTTGAAATGTATATTCTTTGGGTATGTATGTGCAGGCTCTCTCTTTAAATTTTATTTCCTCCTCTGGCAATTTGAAAGTAGAAATTTGACATAAAAATCTTGAACTGCTTTATTTCCTTTGGCTCTATGCTGGAAAAAAATAACAGAGGCAACAAAACCCCGATTTTGTACAAAAAACACTAAGACTTTGAAATTTTTTTTCTTCTCTAATTGCTTCCCCAGCTACATTTCCTAGATTTATGGGAATTAGTGTGTGCAGAGCTGGTACCTCTGAGCTTCATTAGGGTCTTGGTGAGAAGAAGGATCTGAGCAGAAGCCTCTTCACTAAACCTTTGTTGCTCCTGAGTCTCTCACACAGCTAAGGTCAGCCTACTTCTTCCCCTCTGTGTTGACTAACTTGTTCACGTGCTTTCAGTCTTCACCACAGTTAAGTAGGATTCCATTACTCTGGATGTGTAAGACTGGATTACATTTTACCTTAGCTCAACCTGTTCAGTATTTTCCCACATGAGAATACTTTTTATCATTTTCAGAACTGATGTGAACTACATGAAAGATAATACAAGATAGTGGAAAAGTTTAGCCTTATATAGAGACATCTAAGCCACTATCAACATTGCATAATTGAAGGACAAATCCTTCTTGAGTAACACTGGAAAGCCTAATATTAGTAGTTCATTCCTCTTTGCTAACCATTTCCTTCCCAATGCACCTTCTTTGAGGAAGAGTAACTGGTTTGAGGGAAGGAAATTTAGCACCCTTACTCTCATATCTTAATTAACGAGCTTGGTCAAGTGCTGGTAGAGCTGTGCGTTCTAACCTTAGGCCAACAAGAGCAGTAGATTAGAAGGTTGAAGAATTGGCTGAAAGATTACAGAGGATTAAAGGTGCTGTGAACTTCAAACCCAACATTGTGACCAGTCATCCCTAAAAGTGGGAGACCCCTAAAACTGCAATGCAGGTTCCTTGCTTTCTGTGATCCCCAAACATCAAGTAGATATTGTCTTCCACCCATGAAAGGCAGCATGAGCCAGAAAGGGAAAAACTGGCCAATTCAAGAACAGAGCACCCCAAACGCAAATACATCTCCTGTCTGTAGTCAGGAATGCTCTCCCTGGATTTTGTTTTCTCTTACATGAAAAAATTAGATTAAAATTATCTGTTCTTATCACCTTTCTTTAAAATGGCATTAACTCTTTTCCAGTCCTATTGCCTTTTACAAAAACAACACACTTAAATTTTTAAGCACAACATACAAATGAGAAGCTTTTTCTCTAATTTTAAAGGTATCTATCAGATTTTCCTTTGGGGAAAAGGAAATTTAGTGTATACAAAGAGGCCCTTACTTTCTTTGCTTGCTCTCAGGAGCTCTATTTTTTTGTGTGGAAATTTCTCTTTTGGTTCCTTTAGTACCAACGTCCTTGCCTGTCTTCTTTCTTAAAGTTCTTACAAGAGGGTATTTGACCTTTGCTTTCTCTATAATCCACCATCACCATTACCACCACCTCCACCTCAAATTATTCTCCCATGGAAATTTATATTCAGAGTTCATTTCTTAATTATGGACTGTTAAATACAATTCAGAAATTCTCACCAGTTGATGATTTAAGCAACAATATTCCTCAAAATCAATCTACAGACATGAAAATACAAGATTTTTATCCAAAAGAAGCCCACAATGTGGGGTCAGCTGTAAACAGATAACAAATGCACAATGTAATAAAAACCTTCATGAAGTTGCAAGGAGAGTGCTGATAGAAGCAGTATCCTCTGCATTAGCAGCCTGGAAGACAGTGGAACAAAATATTTGACAAATATCTTAAGGATGAGCAAAATCTCCATAAATAGAACAGTCCATAGAGTACTGTTTCTCTAGGATACAGGAAGTGCGTGTGCAAAGCACAGAGAAATTTAAAAGTGCTCAGTGTGTGGAAAAGAATAGAAAATGTTGCTGCCAGCAAATGCAGTAGAGGTGGTCAAGGATGGAGATGAGTCATTTTGCTGCACAGTGGAACGTGACCTGCTTGAGTGTGAACAGTGAGCACCCAGAGTCAACAAAGGCTTGTAAGCTTGTGGATGACATGACCATATCTATTTTTAAGAGGATTATTGTAGAGGAAATGGAAGGTTAAGCATAGTTGGAAAAGACTTGTTTCTGGTTACCAGTTAGGAGGGAGCAAGTAAGCACAAAAATCAGGGAGAGAAGGTCAAAGCTTGAATACTCTTGAGTAAAGAGGACAGAATGAAAGTATGCTTCCATTGTTCAGTTCAGATCCAAAGTAGAACCCAGAGCTGTTTAAAACTGCCCTGCTGACCAGAAAGAACACTTGTGTTTGTCACCAATTGCTTTGAGATCTAAAACCAGTATTGAGTCTTCATCTTTGTC